AGGTCTCCTGCCTTCACCACACCTCCCTGCCTGGTCTCCCATCCCCTGGAGCCAGCCACTCTCCCCCTGCCAACATCCTGGGGTCAGATGGGAGCTGGAATCCTCTAGAGGGGAAAGACCCTAATGTCCCATGCGAAGCTGGGCCCTGCTCTCCCATCCCATCCTTTGGCTCTTTGCTCAGATACTTTGCTGGTGACGTGCGGGTCCTGGCCTGGCTCCTCCCAGACTGTCAAGACTCAAACATTCCCACTCCACAAACCCCCACCCGCAGATAGACAAGGGGGGGCTTCCCCAGAGGCCCCCTTCCTCCTCCAACCACTACAGCTGCATCCCTCCCTCAGAGAAAGGACACAGATGGGACAGGGGCAGGGCTGGGCTAGCAGGGGCTGCAGGCTGGAGTGAAGGGCAGTGCCAGGAGGCTGAAAGTCAGGACTCCTGGGCTCTATTCCAGTTTGGAACGGGTGGGCGACCCCTGTGAGCAGAGGGTGGGCTGTGCAGGGGGCAGGATGGATGCAGAGCTGGTCGGCTGTGGGGCACTCATGTTCCCTCAGGCTGCTGATGATTCCACCAGGCGCTGGAGCGGGTCCCATAAGGCTGAGGTGGAAAATGGGTTTAGCAGGGAATGGGCCTTGCTCCTTGCAGAGTCAGGGCTTTCTCCTGAGTGGGGGCTTGACCTCCAGCTCAGTTGGTGTCCCCCAGGCCTGCCCTCCCCCACAGCTCTGCTGGTGTTCCTCAGATATCCTGTCATGACACAATGTCCCCTGCCCCCATCCCATGCTCCTGGGAGACCCTGTCGCTAGCACTGAGCTGAGGGGGTTAAATGCAGTAGAACCGCAATGGTCCTAAATGGAAGCTGGCAGCATGCCCAGCCCTTCCCCTCGCTTTCAGTCCCTCCCCCTGCCAACCCCTATCCTCCCCTCCACACATACTGTTTCCCCAGCCACCACTGCACCCTTCCCTCTCCCTGTAATTGGTAATTTGCAGTCCCTGTGATGTGAGGGGGGTGGGCACACATGCATCGCCTCACCTGAACCAAGCGGTGCCTGTTCCAGCCCAGACAGTGATCCTGCCACCCAGCCATGGCAGAGACACAGGATATGCCCTCCCTTGGCCAGAGGGAACCCAGGAGTCCTGGCTTCCAGATATCCCTCGGTAGCACACTAAACCCTTCTCCCCTCCCAGAGCTGGGGATATGGGTGGGGAGAACAGAACCAGGGTCCTTCAGCTTCCATTCTGCTGTTCCCAGGGCTCCTTTTCACACTTGCTCCCACGTGCTTTCGTGAGACAGCTGCAGCTTCCTTCCCTCCCATGCTACCTATATCCCTCCCACACTGCAGTCCCCGCTGCCCACTGGCCAGCCAAACACTGACCGACATGCATGTCCCTCGCACACCCACACTTTGCATGTCCCTCGCACACCCACACTTGTGCAGTCACAAAGCTTCTGCACACTTGGCTGTGAGTGCATACACATACTCCCTTGGACCCAGGTGAGTGCACACATGCATTGCACTGACACACTCATGTACACCTGGCCATGTACTCTCATACCTGCACTGACACTCCTGCGTACCTGGCTATGCACACTCATGCATTGCACTGACACACACATATGCACCCCCACCCCCAGCTATGTGTGCATAAATGCTGCACTGACACACACACAGACACTGCCTGCACCTGGCTGTGCACACACACCGGAACAGCCTGCTTTTGCCAGCAGGCTCATGCACAGAACCACCACACGCACATACTCTGTGCAAACTCACAAACACACACTCACCGTGCATGCTTCCCCCACGGCGAGTGTGAGGGGCACAGCAAGGGCTCCTGTGCCCACAAACTCAGACAGACCTTGTGCTGATGATCCTCAGTCCCAACCCATGGCCCCCTGCTAGCCCCACTCTGGGATCCTGTAAGATGATCCTATACCTCCCCCATATCTCCACTCTGTGGGGGAGGTGGCAGGAAGTTTGGGTGGGGAGGGGCTCCAGCCAAGATCAACAGACTGCCTGAGCTGCTCCACTGCAGATGGCTGATTTCCAGGGACCATTCATCCTGTGGCACAGGGACTGGTCAAGCTGCCCTGCCGGGGTCTCTGCCTCAGGTGGGCAGCCCAAGGCTGGGCTAGGAGTGGGTCAGGAGTGATGGGCACCAGCAGAGTGGGTAGGGGGAGCAGAACCAGGCCAGCAGGGGGCTGTGGGTCAGGACTGAGGGGCACTGGCCGAGCCGGGGGGGCGCAGGTCTGGGACAGGAGGCTGCAGGTCAGGAGAGAGGGGGATAGACAGAAATGGGAGCAGTTCCCCAGCTCCTCTCTGCTTGGGTCTGGCTCCTGGGGCTGAGCCATGGCTGGGACTCGCTGGGTGGTCTCGGCACTTCCTTTCCCAGCCCCCCTTCAGCTCTGCCCCCTGCCCGACCCGGATGGCGGCTCCCCCCCCCCACTGCTGGGACCAGCCTCCCTGGCGGGCCCATGTAATGGGGGAGGGGCATGAGGGCTGCAGGCTGGTTAATCGCACCCCATGAGCAGGGGTCAGGAGTGACGGAGAGGGGCCAGGACACATGTTCAGAATGAGCCCTTGGGTTCTATGGAGGTCCCAGGCTTCTGCCCTTGTGCAAGATCCCCACATAGGCGCACTCATGGCTCTGCATCCACCCGGCCCCTGGGGCTCACAACATGGGTATCTGCCCAGCCCTGCATGCTCACAGTGTGTCTGTCTGCATGGGCATCTGCCCGGCCCCTCGTGCTCATGCCGCATCTGACTGCAAATGCCCTACCTGTCTAGTAAATGACTCCCCATCCCCCAGTGGCAGAGCATTGGTAGGGTACGTTCTCTGTAGGTGTTTGGGGGGACCCTGGGCCTCAGGGACTCTGTGGGGAAGGATCCGGGGTCACCATGGGGGCATGACAAGGATTAGGGTCTGGGGGTGGGTCAGGAGTCATAGGCGGGCGTGTCAAGGAATGGGGGGGCCTGTGCTAGAGAAGGACAGTGCTGTTGAGGGGCATGGAGTGTGGGGGACCCCGAGGGCTGCTATTGGGGCTGTGCTGAGGGAATGGTGGGGGGAAGCAGAGGGCCGTGGGAGTGGCCAGCAGGGCTGTGCCAGGCCAGTGGGGGCTGTGCTGTGGGAGGCTGAGGGGTTAGGACAATTGGGGGGCCACGCTACAGGGTGAGGGGGAATCAGGCCGAGGAGGGGTCCCTGTCCTAAGCACACAGCCCCATCTGCTGTTCATTAGGCCCCACAGAGCCGGGATTCTTCTGGCTTCTCCACCGTCTGGCTCTAATTAACCCTTCCCAACAGTCCCCCCTCTCCTGCACATTCCTGTCCAGCTCCAGAGGGGGGTGGGGGCAGACACAAAGAACCTGGGAAGGGGGGGTGGGACTCTATGTTGGGGGTTCAACCTGCCTGCCCCACAATACACTCCCTCCCAAACATGCAGAGCCCTGACCACCCCAGCTCTGCCAGTGCCTCCCAGTCCTGACCCACAGCCCCCTGCTATCCCTGGTCTGGCTCTGTCCCACAGGCAGGCTAGGTCAAAGGGGGGAGGTGTGGGGAACATCTTCCAGGTACCCTGTCCTCAGAAGCTGCAGGCTGCAACCCCCCTTAGCTGGCCATAGCTGGGAATGTTGGCTCCCCCCCACACATACCCACCCTCACAGGGCCCAGGGCCTGTGCAGCTCCCTGATCCAGTCAGCAGGGGGCAGAGTGAGCACACACTTGCACAGGGACACAACACACGCACTCACTATCTAGCCTTCTCACTCTTGCATTTATAGAATTTGCTCAGCCCCAACTCAGGGAAATCCATGGGAGGGAGGAGGGGGTGCGCGCCCACAAGTGTGTGCACATCTCAGGGCATGGTCACACCAAGCTGCAAGTTTGTGTGTATGCTGTTGTATGTATGTTCACACCAGTATGTGTGCATGTCTCAATGGGGTGAGCATGTCAGTATATGTGCTTCTGAGCATGTCTTGGGGGGAGTCAGTGTGCAGGAATGTTTCTGGGTGTGTATGTGTCAGTGCGTATGTGTGTGCTTGCATCAGCGTGTGCGCACATGTGTCTGGAAGAGTTGTGCACATGTCTCTGGGATGGTGTGTGCTTGTCAGTGTGTGTACATGTGAGTGTCTCTGGGGGGATGTGTGTGTGTGTGTGTGTGTGTTTGTGCATTCATGTCAGTGTATGCGTGTGTGTGTGCACGTGAACATGTCTTTGGGTGTGTGTGCATGTCAGTGTGTTTGCATATGAGTGTGTTTCTGGGTGGGTGTATGTTTGTGAGCGTGTCTCAGGGGGTCAATATGTGGGAATGTGAGTGTGCATGTGTCAGGGTGTGCATGGAGTGTGTCTCTGAGTGTGTGTGTGTCTCTGGGTGGCTTTGTGCATATGAGGGTATCTGTATGTGTGCCTGCGTGTCTGTGGTGGGTATGTGCCTGTGAGGGTATTTGTGTGCGTGTCTCGGGGGGAGGGAGGTTGTTCTTGTGAGCGGGTCTCAGGGGTTCAATATGTGTGAATGTCTCAGTATGCATGTGTCTTGGCATGTGGGGGGGCAAGGGTTCAACTGGGCACAGATATTAGGAAACTCAATCAGATGAAGGAGCCAAAATACCCTTCCCTTTCCCCTGCCCCCTTCCTCTCCTGGCCCCCTATGCCTTCCAGTCCCCTCCCACTCCCCCCAGGTGCCTGGGGGCCATTGTTTGCCAAGTATTTGCGTCAGGCCAGAGTCTGTTTCCAGTTTGTGTTAACAGGGCGGCTCTGGGGCAGGGAGCCCAGGAAACCTTCCCCCCCATCTGGCTGGGGTGGGGGGCTCCCTGGACTCCTGCAGTATTAACCCTTCATTGCACAGAGGGGTGGGGGTGGGGAAGCCCAGGCCTGAGCTAGCAGAGGACTATGGATCTGGACTGACAGGCACCAGCAGAGCTGGAGGGGGAGGAAGGAGCTGAGGGCTGGGATAAGAGGACATGTTTCCCTGCATAAGAAGCTGTAGAACATTTCATCCATAGCCAGACTCCGTTTAAAATATTTACTAATGGGTTGTACACATTGTATATAGAGAAATCACGTCCCTGTCACTGAGATGCAGCCACCTCTGGGGTGGAGCATGGGGGGGCTGTTCATACCAGGGATTCCTCACCTGTCACTGAGATGAAGCCACTTCTGGGGCTGAGCATGGAGTAGGGATCCCTCGTCCAGTGCAGATGCAGCCAACTCTGGAGTGGGTGCAGCAACAGGGCAACAGCTCATTGTAGTGTAGTTTAGCGCAGGAAGTGAGCCCCTGCCTCTTCTCCCAGCCTCCTGAATATCTCCCATCTAGAGCCAGGCCTGCCCCCTCTTCATGTGAGAGCTGAAGACATCCCAGTTTACAAGGGAATGGGGGGATGGGCTTTGCTCCGGGCTTTAGTGAAGCATTAAGGGGAGCTAAGTCCCAGCCCACCCCAGTAGGGCACAGACACTGGGGTGCCATTTCTCGCTTGGTGGGAAAGGCCATAGGAGAGGGGGGAGTTGGTACAGGGAGCTTCCTGCCACCAGGAGCTTTAATCACAGTCTAATTACACAGGCAACAGCAGACACAAACATCCCTGTCTGCTCCCAGGAAGACCCAGGACTCCTGGCTCTTCCCCCTTCCCCCAAACCACCAGACCCCATTTGCCTCTCAGAGCTGGGATACGAGCCAGAAGTCCTGGATGGCCGGGGGTTAGGCTCAGTAGCCAATAACCCCACACGGATCTCCCGCGATGCCGATTCCAAGGTTCCCATCATGGAGTCAGATTTTGACACCCGCTCCCCCAAGTAAAACTGTCTGGACTGGAACCCAGGAGTGGTGACTCCCCACCCCACTAAAGCTGTCCAGCCGCAATCCGGCTCAACCCCTTTATTGTGAGAGCAACACGTATTAACAATGGAAAAGCATCTGGGGCCTCTCCAAGCCCCTAGAGGCCCCCCACATTCTCTCCCAGAGCCCTCTCACAGCCCCATTCTGAGTCCCCTTACTGTCTCCTTCTCCTAGCTTCAGGCTCCTTGCTTCCCTTGGCTCTGTGGCCCCTAGTTCCAGGGGTCTGTCAAGTCCTGGGAGCATTTCTCCAGCCCTGTCACTTTCTCATCGCTTTTCTGGAGGGGAGGGGGTGTCAGTGGGTCTCATCAGGGATTCTCCACAATAACCAGGGATCCCCAGTGAAGTTGGCTCCTGTGTCTTTTTGGCAGAAGTCTGAGGAGCAGGATAAGGAAGGACCCAGACCTGGAGACAAGGAGGGCCATATCCCAGCCAGGGTGCTGGGGAGCCATGTCTCTGCCCTGGATTGTGGGGCCCTGCAGGTGGAGTCTTAGTCCTAGCTCTGGGGTGGGGGTGATTCCATCACCGGGGACAGCCAGTGCACAATTCCAGGGGACCAGATGATGGTGGCAGGACAGTTTGGGGGGGACCAGGCTCCAGCTGGGGGGTTGAGAGATAAATGGTGGGCTCATGTGCCAGCTGGGGGCTCAGGGATGGCTCCAGGGTTCCAGCTGGAGGAGGGTGTTGGGGTGGCTCCAGTTTCCAGTTGGAAGTATCCATGTCCCAGCTGAGGGTCAGGGTGGCTGCAAGGCTCTTGCTCCAGCCAGGGCGTTGGCCTCCATGTCCCGGCCAGGGACTCAGAGATGGTTCCGGGGGCCCAGCTCAGGGGGTGCAGCCAGTCCTTGCATCCGAGCCAGGGGTCTCATTTCCCAGCTGTGAGTGTGGAGAAGCATCCTGGTCCCTTTATATTCTGGAACTCCACAGTCTCAGACGCTGGTCCGGCAGGTGGCTGGGTGGGTCCCTGCAGGTGAGTGGGGGGGCCCCTTGCCCCCCGCACTGGTGACCCAGCGGTAGCACTGTGTAACACTGCGGCTTTTGGCCCTGGCACCACAGCGGGTGCAGTACACGATGCCCAGTGCCACCATGATCACCAGGAAGACACAGAGAGGCACCAGCAGTGCCACCAGCAGCCACCGGTCGTCCCGCTTCCTCCTTGCCCGCTCCCCACCCAGAGAGGTGCTGGGGTCCTCTGAAGGGGGCAGTGGAGCCCTGGCCCTGTCAGCTGCAGGGTCCCCTGCCTCCCTGCTATAGGGTGAGGCAGGAGCAACAGGGGACCTTGGAGATCTGGGGCTTGGGGCACTGGTGCTGGGAGTTGGGGGGGCAGTTGTCATGGGAGTGATAGAGGGGCTGGTGTGGGGACCTGGGGGGGCAGTGGTGGGTTCTGGAGGTGCAGTGGATGTGGGAGGGATTGGGGGGCTGGTGCAGGGGATTGGGGAACCAGTGGTGGGTTCTAAGGAGCTGGCGGTTGTGGGAGGGATTGGGAGGCTGGCTGTGGGCACTGGTGGGGTGGTGGAGGGACGAAGGGCTGCATGATCAGTGCTGGGGTGGGGCACGGCAGGAGGCAGGTCAGGGGGGGTGGCAGTGGAGCTGGAGAGCTCCTGGCTCAGGTCGAAAGGGTCCTCTGTTCCCCAAACCTGCAGCACCTCGGCACCCCACTCCTGCTCATCCGTGAAGCGCGGGTAGAAGGCCTGCTCCCTGGTGGCCAGTGCAGGGGGCTCTGCCAGGGGGGCACAGCTGATGCCATCAGCCTCCAGCTCATAGCCCTCGGTGCAGTAGCACTCGAATCCGCCCACGTAGTTGACGCACATCTGCTGGCAAACGCCAGGAATCTGGCATTCGTCGTTGTCCACACAGTTCTGCGGCGCCTCCTCAGCCGGGCTGAAGCCCAGGTGGCACATGCACAGGTAGGAGCCCTCAGTGTTCTCGCACTGGTGCTCGCATGGGGCGCTCCCACATTCGTCCAGGTCAATGCAGTCCCCAGCCTCATCGGCTTCATAACCCAGGTGGCAGCGGCACTGGAAGCTGCCAGGGAAGTTGTCACACAGCTGCTCGCACGGCCCTGTGGCACACTCATCCACATCCTCACATGTGTGTCCGTTGCTGGCCAGCGTGTAGCCCTCGGGACACAAGCAACGGTATCCTCCGTCCTCTCCTGGCACACACTCAGACTGACAGGGGTGGTTCTGGCAGCCATCAGCTAGAGCACAGGAGCGCCCGTCAGGCAGCAGGGCGTGGCCAGCATGGCACTCGCATGAGTAGCTGGGCCCCTCATCCACACACAACTGCTGGCAGCCCCCGTTGTCACCCTCGCACCAGTCCCCGTCCTCCTCCCCGCACAGGGGCTCCTCCTTGGACCAGCCCACGGAGCCATCGTCCTTCTGCATGCACAGCACGGAGATAGGGGCTGTGCTGCCACAGGCCACAGATGCCACTGTGCCAAAGGGGATGTGGCTCAAGGGGCCGTTGACCTGCCCAAAGGGCGTTCTGTAGTTCACAGTCCTTGTCTCCTCAGTGGCCAGCCCGGGGCACATGCTAGTGAAGCTAAACTGGCACAGGTAGCCGTCCACAGGCAGGGTACACGAACCCTCCAGCCACTGGAAATTCTCCTGCGTGGCCGGACCGTAGGTCAGCACCACACAGCGTGAGGCCGAGCAAGCAGCACCCCCAGCTGGCTCAGCCCGGGCCCAGTTGGTGTAGAACGTGTCTTGATTGCCAGTGGTCCAGGTGAAACCACGCAGCGGGCGCTGAGGGAAGCACTGGCGTGGCTGGCGCTGCAGTCCAATCCAGAAGAGCCGCTGCTGCCCTGTACCTGGGCCCGTGGCTTGCAGCAGCCCCGCCACCTGGGCTGCCTCCTCGTGGCGCTTGAGTGTGGCCAGGTTTCCACCAAGCTCCCGGCAGCTCCGCCAGGACTCCAGGAAGCTGCGGCGCTGGAAGAAGACAACATAGCAGCCTTCTGGGCCACAGGCAGCCTCGAGCCCTGGCCAGGCAGCTTCATGTTCCGGCCAGGCGCCCTGCGCCGGCCCCACCAGCCCAGTCAGGAGCAGCCAGAGACGCAGCATCGTCCTGGCGCCCACGGCTGCCTGCTCCGCTCTGTGCCTCGGCACAGATCCCCTGCCCTTCTCTTCCCCTCGGTGGGGAGGGGCAGGACAGGACAGTGCCCGCCCCTGTCCTTTTAAGGGAGAGCATTGGGCCCAAGCCCAGGAAGAGGGGGAGACAAGCTGGGAGGGGTAGCTGGGGGGGATCCTGGATGGCCTGACCCAGAGGATGGAGGCAGGGTATATGTGAGTGAGACCTTCCCTTTTGTGCAGCTGGATGAGAAATGCAAACCCCGCTCCACGCCTAGAGCTGGGATAGATCCACAGAGCCCTAGCTCCCAGCCCCCCTGTTCTAACCCCTAAATACACTGCTCCTCCCTTAGGGTGGGATTTAGAACCCAGGAGTCCAGACTTCCAACCCCACATCCTGCCTTCTTCTAGTTGTTGCTGAAAGGGGCAAACAGTGAATCAGCAGAGAATGGGTGTGTAAATTGACCATATGCTGCAGCTTATACTGACACACGCAATACAAGACACATGCATATGCACACACCACACACACACAACTGCATATACTGCTACATGGCCTGGCCCTAGTTTAGTCCTTTGCTCCAGAAACCTGGAGGCTGGGACACAGGACTGGATTCTGGCTCCTCATTCCCAGAGCCCCTCCATGCTCTGCTGTGGGAATGGCTCCAAGTGTCTTCCTGCATCTTCCAAGACCACAGGCAGGTCAGGGTGATTCCCACAGGGGAGCTGAGACTCTCAACAGATTCAGGGAAGTCAGTATGCACAGAAGAGTGCACACAAGGATGGGCATGCATGGCAGAGAGTGAGCTCGGGAGTACCAGAATTGCTCCTAGCCCTCACACAGTGTGAGCACCCTAGCCATTTGTACATACCTATGCATGTATTTTCCCGTGCATGCACACCCATGTGCATACATGGCCTCCTATTCGTGCACATGTTCTTTGCTGCATCGTACACACTTGTGTGACCATCATCCCAATGCATACCAGCTTGTACTCACTCAACATGCATGTTGCCATATTGTCTGACACGCTCTCACACTCGCAAAAGCTGCACTGCTGCACACACAAACACACACACCTGAGCATGTGCACTCACTTGTGGGCATACCCCTGAGCATTTGCACACTTGCTTTTCTATGCACTAGTGCCTGCTCACCCTGATTACTAAGTCCACTGGCAGGCTGGTGACTGGGGGAACGGCTCCGTTCCTGAGGAGGCCAGGCCAGCCCCCGCGGGTTGGCAGAACTCTGGACTGTTCCCCCCCCCTCCCGCCAGGAGAGAGCCAGAACTCTGCGCCTAGAAGTCCCGGATTGCAGCCCCCAGGGGCAGAGATCCCAGCTGCTGCTGCTCATGCTGTGAACCAGGTGCGCGCCTATGTGCGCTCCAGGGGGGCTTTCTGGGGTGCATCTCTGCAGGGCTTGCCTGTGTCCGGCGGGCTGCGTGGCGCGTGTGCTGTGCATCGGGGGGGCTCTGTGTAGGGAGCCGGGGAGGGTTTGGGCCCAGCCGCAGGGGCTGGCGGGGGGAAGGGAAGCCGGGGGCTGCAGGTCGGATGGAGAGGCAGCGCGGAAATGCATGGAATTCCTGATGTGTGGGAACCGGGGGGG